TGTTATGTATGTTTGTTATGTTTCACGACACATGTTTGAGTAGTTAATAGAAACACTTTCTTCTTAACGAGAGTGTGTACTTGTTATGCATGTTTGTTATGTTTCACGACACATGTTTGAGTAGTTAATAGAAACACTTTCTTCTTTACGAGAGTGTGTACTTGTTATGCATGTTTGTTATGTAGTCATAGATATGAATGTGGTCGTTTAATCTTTTTTTAATTAGATAGAATTAGATATGAATCAATTAGACTTGGTTTCTCTGCAGAAGGAATTTATTGGACTGTCCCTTTCTCTTCATATAGTTTTTGATGATTACACTTTAAATGGTGATTTTGATGTAATATATGATAAACAGAAGGCAATATGAAATACATGGTTTGATATTTATGAAGAATTACATTAATTCAAAAATATAAAAGCAATGGGTTACAATTTTTGTGTGTGCATGTGATGAACAAGACATAGCGTACACATTGGACATACTACCATGTTTTTCTATGTCTACTGTTTCGAGAAATCATCATTTAATACTGTACTATAGTTGAAATACATTGATTTATGTAGGATTGGTCCTAAACAGTTTTAGCACGGAATTAAATTATCTAAGCCCGTGGTTTTAGTAATATTTTATAAAATTTACCTGGAAAATTATTTTGATTTAAAATACATTTTTTGTGTTTTTCTTTCTTTTACAAATCTGATGAGTGCCACAATAAGATGAAAATAAGACTTGGACCATACTACATAATCATATCTCTGTTTTACTTAATATATAATACTACACTTTATATAATTGTATTGCTGCTAGTTATATAGTGTCATATATATTTAATCAACTTTTATTTCATAGCTTAAGTAGAATTTTTTAGAATATTACATGTTTGTTTTTTCATTTCATTAGGAAGGTTACATGTACATTAAAAATGTGTAATGTATGTCCGGAGTATACTGTTTACAGAAAATAATCTACAAGGCTATCACATATTAAAAAAATATATTCACAATATCTAATTCACAGTTTACAGAAAATAATTTGCACTAGGCTATCGTTGTTTCCATTGAATAATTACAACCTTATCACTTTTACAGAAAAGAATTATAAAAAAATGTCACTGTCTACTGAAACTTGTGTTAACACAGTAAATTTTATACAAAAAGTTAGATGATACTTGTACACTGAAGAATGAATCACCAATTCAGATAATTTGCAACGCAAACAGATTGTATGCTTCAATATATTCCACTTGCCTCTGAATCATTGGACGATGAAGAATAAAAAATATACACAGGTTATTTAGCTAAATGTTAATTTCCAAAAGCATACAATATTTAATTGTTTCCCAATACAAAATCTGAAAATGTCCAAGCTTGACTTTTAGAAATGATATTACATGTAATACATGTACATGTTATCTTTTATGTGTTTGTTTTACGTTTTTTTTTATTGATTTTTTCTTTTTCTTTGTCAACACTTTTTTGATTTGTTGGTTTCTATAGCTACACCTTCCAGAAGATCCAAGACAACACGGACCTACATTGGTGCTTCCAGCGCTACTTCCTGATATACGAGTACTACTCCCGGCCAACACTATTCCCACCCTTCGTCCTTATAAGCCATCTTATTTTGATAACTAAATGGATAATAAGAAAGTGCTGTAACAAATTTGTGCAGAAAGAGGATTCTATTTTAAGTAAGTCATTAATGAAAAAAAAATCCTTCTACCCTTAAAATAGTATTGCACTGTAAAATAAAAATTATGAATGAAAACATTTAATGCTTCGATGTTAGCATTTATGAATCTACTACTTAAGTTGTTCATACATATATTTAGTGTTAACTATTTCCATGAAGATGGGTCAGACTGAATACAGCTAATTCCTTTACTATTCCCATGAAGATGGGTCAGACTGTATACCGCTAAACTCTTTAACTATTTCCATGAAGATCGTCAGACTGTATACCGCTAAACTCTTTAACTATTTCCATGAAGATCGTCAGACTGAATACAGCTTATTCCTTTACTATTCCTATGAAGATGGGTCAGACTGTATACCGCTAATTCCTTTACTATTCCCATGAAGATGGGTCAGACTGTATACCGCTAAACTCTTTAACTATTTCCATGAAGATCATCAGACTGTATACCGCTAAACTCTTTAACTATTTCCATGAAGATCGTCAGACTGTATACCTCTAAACTCTTTAACTATTTCCATGAATATTGACAGACTGTATACCACTAAACCCTTAACTATTTCCATGAAAATGGGTCAGAGTGTATACCACTAAACCCTTAACTATTTCCCTGAAGATGGGTCAGACTGTATACCGCTAAACTCTTTAACTATTTCCATGAAGATGGGTCAGACGGTATACCGCTAAACTCTTTAACTATTTCCATGAAGATCATCAGACTGTATACCACTAAACACTTAACTATTTCCATGAAGATCATCAGACTGTATACCACAAAAACCTTAACTATTTCCATGAAGATCATCAGACTGTATACCGCTAAACTCTTTAACTATTTCCATGAAGATCATCAGACTGTATACCGCTAAACTCTTTAACTGTTTCCATGAAGATGGGTCAGACTGTCTACCACTAAACCCTTAACTATTTCCATGAAAATGGGTCAGACTGTAGACCACTAAACCCTTAACTATTTCCATGAAAATGGGTCAGAGTGTATACCACTAAACCCTTAACTATTTCCCTGAAGATGGGTCAGACTGTATACCGCTAATTCCTTTACTATTCCCATGAAGATGGGTCAGACTGTATACCACTAAACTCTTTAACTATTTCCATGAAGATTGACAGACTGTATACCACTAAACCCTTAACTATTTCAATGAAGATCGTCAGACTGTATACCACTAAACTATTCAACTGTTTCCATGAAGACGGGTCAGACTGTATACCACTAAACTCTTTAACTATTTCCATGAAGATCATCAGACTGTATACCACAAAACCCTTAACTATTTCCATGAAGATCATCAGACTGTATACCACAAAACCCTTAACTATTACCATGAAGATCATCAGACTGTATACCACTAAACCCTTATCTATTTCCATGAAGATCATCAGACTGTATACCACTAAACCCTTATCTATTTCCATGAAGATCATCAGACTGTATACCGCTAAACTCTTTAACTGTTTCCATGAAGATGGGTCAGACTGTATACCACTAAACTCTTTAACTATTTCCATGAAGATTGACAGACTGTATACCACTAAACCCTTAACTAGTTCCATGAAGATCATCAGACTGTATACCACAAAAACCTTAACTATTTCCATGAAGATCATCAGACTGTATACCGCTAAACTCTTTAACTGTTTCCATGAAGATGGGTCAGACTGTCTACCACTAAACCCTTAACTATTTCCATGAAGATCATCAGACTGTATACCACAAAACCCTTAACTATTACCATGAAGATCATCAGACTGTATACCACTAAACACTTAACTATTTCCATGAAGATCATCAGACTGTATACCACAAAAACCTTAACTATTTCCATGAAGATCATCAGACTGTATACCACTAAACCCTTATCTATTTCCATGAAGATCATCAGACTGTATACCACTAAACACTTAACTATTTCCATGAAGATCATCAGACTGTATACCGCTAAACTCTTTAACTGTTTCCATGAAGATGGGTCAGACTGTATACCACTAAACTCTTTAACTATTTCCATGAAAATTGTCAGACTGTATACCACTAAACCCTTAATTATTTCCGTGAAGATCATCAGACTGTATACCACTAAACCCTTATCTATTTCCATGAAGATCATCAGACTGTATACCACAAAAACCTTAACTATTTCCATGAAGATCATCAGACTGTATACCACAAAAACCTTAACTATTTCCATGAAGATCATCAGACTGTATACCACTAAACCCTTATCTATTTCCATGAAGATCATCAGACTGTATACCGCTAAACTCTTTAACTGTTTCCATGAAGATGGGTCAGACTGTCTACCACTAAACCCTTAACTATTTCCATGAAAATGGGTCAGAGTGTATACCACTAAACCCTTAACTATTTCCATGAAAATGGGTCAGAGTGTATACCACTAAACCCTTAACTATTTCCCTGAAGATGGGTCAGACTGTATACCGCTAAACTCTTTAACTATTTCCATGAAGATGGGTCAGACTGTATACCACTAAACCCTTAACTATTTCCATGAAGATCGTCAAACTGTATACCGCTTAATACTTAATTATTTCAATGAAGATTGTCAGACTGCATATATACCCATCCTGAGCAGCTTTAGCAAATCAGCTCTCTTAAAAGCAAGTTACCCCCCATACATCAATGCTTGACTGTAGCAAGACCATCTAGATAGGTGATATGTTGGTATTGTGATGTTAATTATTCACATTTGCCTTTTTGCTCTTATAAATAACTGCTTATTGTGCAGATTATAGACTGACATTACTTTCATAATGATAAAATTTGGTATTTGCATGTGCATAGTTGTTATATTATATAACTGTATGAATTTGGAGTTACAATGAGATCAAGGAATTTATTTGTAGAGGTCAAAATTTTACGTAACGTTTAAAACAATCTGGCTATTTTTCTTGCATGTGTAGATAGATCTATAGGCTGTATGTCAATGTGAGCCTATTCTCTTGATTATATTTCTTCGTAGCATGAAATCTTTTTCATAAATTCATTGTTTTTGTTTTTCTTGGATCAAACTATATTTAAATACTGCACTGCAGAGGATTTAACCAATGTTCAGTTTTTTTTTGTTTTTTTTTGTATGTTCTTAAGCAAAGGCGATATTCAATTCTGAAAAGCAGAAGAATCAAACCAATTGTATTGTCATAAAAATGATGATATTAAAGCATTAATACTATACAGATTCTATTATATATCATTAAGAAGTTGAAAAGAATAGATTTTTAGTTGCCAGGTAATTGTCCCTTTTGATGATATGTGACATGAATTTTCTTTAGTCAAAAAGATTCCCAATGAAAGGGAGATAATCCAATGGGAGAACGTGATAGCTGATGCCTACTTGACACGGAAGGAGCTTTCCGAAGGGGAAAACCTTGATAACAGAATCAAACTCATGCATGACCGGTGAGAATTTGCAATTATATATGACTTTGATATATCTTATAAAAAATAACAGAGATTACTTTGTAACATTAGTATGAAAAGTCATCTTGCTCGAAGCTGTACATGCAGCATTAATCAAAGTACCAAGCAGGGTGGTGTAACATTATTCCAAGTCCAAAATTAGTTTTTTAAAGCCTGAATAGGGAATTTGTTTTACATGTTTTGAAACATTATGTTGTCCCTAGTCTAAAATATTATTTTGTCTCAATCCTAAAATATAAACAATATCTCTGATAAAGTAATAAGAAAGTGTAATAATGTGAGTAATGGATTTGAGGATTTCTCTTTAAGCTATATTTATGAATGATTCTATGTCAAAATGGATGCTAATTTTATTTAAGGATGGAGATATTGATGTCCAAAGTGGAGGACATTCAGGATGACCAGCAGAATGCTGCGTTCGTCCAAATGTCGGCACCAGCAATAACACAACAAGCTGTTTCTCGACCCACAAGCCAGCAAACCGTCACTGCAAAGATACCACCTCAGTTAGAGAGGCGAATTGGCTCTGTGGAAGAACAGGTAACAAAGCCTTTGTACTTCCACAGCCGGATGTCTATCCTTAAGTGACAGCAACTAGGATACTTCTGTGCTTTCTGGTACTGTTAGTGTATATACATACAGACTTATTGGTATTGTTAGTGTAGGTAACCGGGATACTTCTATACTTAGTGAATAGCTGTTAGTAGATACTGCTAGAGTATAACCATGCTACTATTGTACTTAGTGATACTGTTAGTATAACTAGGATACTTCTATACTAAGTGATACTGTTAGTATAACTAGGATATACTTCTATACTAAGTGATACTGTTAGTATAACTCGGATACTTCTATACTTAGTGATACTGTTAGTATAACTAGGATACTTCTATACTTAGTGATACTTTTAGTATAACCAGGCTATAGCTACTTCTGTACTGAAGAAGAACCAACGACCTGCGGCCAGTACCTGACGACTGCCAGATTACTTGTAGACTTGATTGTACTTTTGGTTGTGATCCTGACAACATTGATATTTGAGATATTTAACTGTTATTCCTGTACAGATGACTCTTACATGTAAAGCCTTATCCTGGATTGTCCAGTCGCTGCAGGAAAATGATATGGCTGCCAAGAGGTCGCCTCCACTATTACCAGAACTTCAGACTCGTGGGGAAACAGGTAACTATATACATGTTTTATTTAAAACACTCTCCATCACTGAGCTTTGTCATAACATAAATAGACACGTTCAGCCTGTGCTAGTTTTAGACTTTTATTGATTGAATCACGCTGCCATCAAATTATATTGATATCATCTACTTATATAAATACAAGACATCTTTTTCAACTGATTTCACACAAAAATGTCTTGCATTTGTAGAGACATGATATACTGCAAACATTGCTAGGTTTTAGATAGAGCTGTTCAGATGTTTGAATTGTTGAATATAAACTAAATGTATTGCATAATGTTACAAATACCACAGTTACATTATCATACCTTCCTTCTCAGAACTGACTAGAGGCATAATTCAGGTATATTTGACATCTTGAACAGAACTTATATTTTGAGGTGTAACTTATTTATGTCATATCATAGTATGTTAAACAGTTATACATGATTTACTTCTAACAGAAGCTAATCAGATAGGTAAGACTGCAATGTGTACCTGTCAATATCATCACCACCATGGCTGCTTTGGTAAACAATATCAAACCATTTATACATCTTCAAGTGTAGTCCTGCTTGAGAATTGTGAAGTTCTTTCATTGATTTAGAATTGTAAAGGCAATTCCAGACATAGCAAGGAGGCAATTGTTATCATCAAAACTCATCGTGGGTGGTGGGGTAATAACTCTCTGCCCTCCTTTATTTCATGAATAGCCTTTACTTTGAAATAATTTGAATGGAAATCATACATATTATAAACTTAAAAGGGTCTCTTTTCAAATGATTGAAAGTGAAGGCGTTAATCATGTTGAATTTGGTACGAAGGAGTTAATCATGTTGAATTTGGTACGAAGGAGTTAATCATGTTGAATTTGGTACAATGGGTTGCACACTTTATACATTGATTAGCTGCTTTACACCTATTATGCATGGCAATTATTGTTTTGATGATTTTTTTTTCTTTTTCAATTTAAAGCTCTTTTTATTGTAAACTATAAAAACATACCCATATCTTTTATAAACACTGATTTTAGTGTAAAGTGCGATTATCTCTATTGTATAATGTGTTGAGTGATAGGTCAAGTGTTAAAGCTAGGAAATTCAATTTGATTAACCTGTGGAACTTCCTAAGTTTCATTGTGTACCCTTAATACTGGGAGGGAAAGTGTTAGTAAGTACAAAGATATGTCTTTCATTGTAACTTTTTCTTCATACATATGGTTCTATAAAATTTCAATTGGCCATTGCAATTTTATTTGGATCTGCATACAGTTCAAAAATTTGTAATAATATTCATCTATTGGTTCTCGCCAATGTCCTGACAAAAATCTATTGAACCAAGTCAGGATCAGCTAGGTTTTTAATATACTAATGGTAGATTTGAAGCTCATGGACCGGATCAGAAACAAAATTAGGCTTGACACTCAAATTTATGAAGTTGTTTGTATTTTAGTTTCATGTCAATTTGTCATTTAACATGTGTGTACATTTAAATAGTTGTCAGTATATGGACCTTTTCACTTCATTATGAGTGATTTCTATTAAACAGCTTTATTGTATTTGTTTGTCATATTATATTTCATCAACCAACATTTTATTGTTTTGTGTATTTTCATTGTTGCAACTACATCCTAGCTAGTACTACACATGACAAGCCGTTTTAACATCTAATACTATTTCAACTTAAGGTAAACATTTTTTCGCTTAAGTGAAAAAACACATCATGTAAATAGTTTATTTACCTTAAGGAAAAAAGAATTTCACAGAAGTGAAATAAGTTTGAAGTATATTTTTCCTTAAGATGAAGTAATAGAGCAACGGAGGGTGTTATCGACAGGGGGGCATTATCAACCCCCGGTTCTATTCATCTCGTTTTGGATTGATTACGAACCGTTTTTCAGACACTCACTTACATGTACCTTTTCGGAATCGCTCAGAACTGTTCCATTCAGACAACACTGATTAAAGAAATTTTCTGAACTTTTTTTTCCAAAGAGAAGAATCTTATCATGTTTTTAGACCTCCCTTACGAGCACCGGTAAGATATGTATGACACTTCGAGTGTTGTTAACATTTTTATCTGAAATATTTGTCACATATCTGTGTAATCCAACTTCACTCATGAAGCGTCTGCAACGTTTGTCAGCGTCCTATCTACATCCGGGGTATTGTTAAGGTCGGAAATAGGGTTGTCGATAACTGCCGCAATTTGAATATCGGATATCCATTAAAAATATATTGTTATGAATGTCTTGTACTTAAAAGTTGTGTGTATGATTTCAATATATCGTGAATTGTGTAAGGGGAGAACACCTGACAACAATAATGTTGCTAAAGTCTATCCAGTTAATTAACAGACATAACTTTACAAGCATAAATAAAATACTAAAAAATCCAAAGTTTTCAATAAAATCCATGTAGATATAAGTCTTGTAAATATGCTCAATAGAAACTGTAATTACAAATTAAGAAAAATATCAATATTGGAAGATAATGCAGCCAGATATAGACAGAATATAATATGTTGATGAAAATCGAACAAATGTTGATGATAATTTTTCGGTTAGGCAGGAGGTATACAACTAATTATCTTGAGAACATTGAGAATTTAAAAACATTGCCACAGTGATTATTTTAAGAAGATTCAAATATGTTTTCTTGAATAAAATTTCTGATCTCTGTCATTGTAGCATAAAAATTTGTGGGCTGTTGGAATGCATCACTGGGGATCAAAAGAATTGTAAATTGGGATGGGACACCGTATTGAAAGGGAACCAGAAAATATATTTGATCAAAATGCTGTGACGGTGACTGTTTTGCGCATTCGTGCAGAAAAGGGAGCACATTTGTTTACATATTTGACTTGACATGTTTATATTTTTTCTAAGCATTTGGACACACTTCAGAACAAATGAATGTAGTATGAGAGATAAATAATAGAAATAATTAACATTTTAATTTAGCTGTCGATAACTACCTCCATCTGTCGATAACTGCCCCTGTCATTAACGCCACCAAAACAATGATTTCTCCCGCGATTTGTCACATTTACGCTGATTGCAGATGATAAAAAAGAGTTATGTTTCCCGACTTCTCCGAAATGCCATCATATAATAACTTACGCAAAACGGTAAACTCCAAAAATAAGTTTGAAGCTTAGACTGTCGATAACTGCCTCCATTGCTCTTTTAAATGTTAAAACGGCTTGCCATTACTACATGTAATATGGTAATACCACTGTCTTGTTCAAGTCTTATCTGTCATTTATAAATGTTATTCCTACTCAGTGTGCGTGTTGATGTTGTCCATCTTTTGTTATGGTTACTCCTCATTGTCTTGTGTTGGTGAGGAATGTGAAGTGATTGTTAAATGTAGCCCACATACAGCGCTGATGGGTCAAAACCAGCTGAGGTTATCATGAACGTTTACACAAGTGTCTGCAAACAAATACGCTGTTATTGATGTCTGTAGGTCATTATTGAAAAATTAAAATGATTACATAAGCACAGAACCTTTCTAAATTCCACCTCTAAACCCAATTTAACCATGATACACACAAGTTAGTATGAATGACGGGAATGGGTGCTCTTATAAGAGTTTGGGTACTTATTAGGTTGTTAATGTTATCTCATTATACAGTTATTGTAAAATACATGATAATTGTACTATGTGATATCAGGATCCCCAGCCCACTGCTCTGTGGTTTATTTGTATCTAAAGTAACCTCCCCTTAATTTTGGTTTGGATATATCTTTAGCACAGATAGGCAGGACACTTCCTTTAACAAGGTACTAAGCTCAGTTGATTGAAGTGAAAGAATACCAATCTGAAGTCTAGGGTTCTAGTCACGCTGAATTTTTAGGTTCAGAACACCGTTGCTGATTATATATTGATTATTTCATCAAATATTTATTTTTCATAATAGTCCCACAAGCTATTGTTTTTTCTTTACAGAAACGATTTATCAAAGCTTTAGTCATGCCAGAAAAACACTTTTAAGGTACTTTTTTTGGCTGTGGTTTACATGTGGATCCTTCAGTACGTTTTTTTTTTACTTCAATACGCTAATAAATGATTTAAATGCATATATTTCTGTCACACAGAGCTAACCATTCAATGTCTTGTCAACTTCAGATATAAGGAAACGTAAGCAGGAGCAAGATTTGGCTCTCACGATCATTGAAAAGAAGAGAGAGCTCCACTACCGATCCCGTTCCAGTCCCTACCCTGGCTGTTCAGTGACACGCTTCTTTGTGCCAGATGACATGGTGTTCTGGGAGGTATGTTGGTGTGGTAGACTGCCTTGTTATTATGTCTCCCCTTCAAATGAAGGGAGACATATTGTATTTGTACTGGTTCTTCTTTTTGTGGTTCTGGTTCTTTTAATATGATCTTGCCCGGGCCGTCACTTTTAAAGATATCTTGCATATCTTGAAACTTGTAAATCAAGGTCAAAGGTAAAAAAGTCTGATGGTTTTAAACATTTTAAGGCATACTCCAAGGTGATGCCAACGGTCCCTCACTGTGTTTAAACTTACTATGGAAGTACATGTATATGGTGGCATGCGACTATGGGGTCAGTTTTGAGGACTTCTGTAATGGTCCCCATTACAATTAGAACTTGCATTAATTGTTTATGTATGGATTCTATAATTTAACAGTAGGCAGTTCTTCTCATAATAAGGTCAAATAAGTGCTGAGTTAAAAATATTCTGATAAAACCCACAGATGATGTACAGTGCACTGTCGTTAGGTCACTGTGACCTCGTCACCGAGGTCAAATGTCAAATAAGTGTCAAGTATTCAGGAAAAACTTGTCCGGGCTGTAACTTTTAAACCATTAAAGGGGAGACATATGATTTGTTCTCTAGTTAAAATCTGAATAGGCATTGGATTTGTATTACAACTCTGTAAAATGTAGTCTGAAATATTGGGCTATTACTGCTAAAAAAAGGCAGAAACCTGACTTCAAACATGAAAACATCAAATTACCTCACTCTGGGTTGTGACAGCAATCTATTAAAGCTTTCTAAGAGTGTAGAATGAATAAAAAGTTAAAATAATACTATCGTAAATTGTTTCAAAGTGAATTTTTATACAGTAATTATCAGATATTTTAGAAATTGCTGATCAATCCACATATGACTTAAAAAACATGGATGTTTCATTTATAAATTGTGTGACCATGACTTACTTTCAGATACCGTTCCCAGACTACAACCCTGTGAAATATCTATCTCCTGAGGTCAAGGCGAATCCCTATTGGGCAGACAAAGAAGAACTTATAGATTTGTAAGTTGTTATTGGTAGCTGGTATATAATTGACTAGTATTCTAGGCTTGATGCAACTCATGCAACTGCAAATTGTATATTAAATCATAGGTTAATGCAAGAAAACAATAAATTTAGAATTATTTATATTCTCATCACAAAAAAGTTTGAATATATTTGTGAGACTAGACATCAATGCAATATGGAAATGATTTGGTGCATAGGTACTGGACTGAAAAATATATGATGTTTAACGACTACTTCTGACAATAAGCATACTTTATATACATCAAGTACTTTTAGTATGCCCTGCACCTGAGAAAACATGCTTGTATTCCTATACTATTCATCATTCTTATGTAAATTTCACAGGATATGATTAGTTTCTTTATCGAATACTTCAATATTATAGGCCTCCCAACAAGAGAGAAGGAAAGATCAAGTTTAACACATTTGACTACAGCTGCCTGGTTGACCGCACCAGCCATCTTGGTGATTACAAAACTATCAATGGCCTACCTCTAAACCCTTTTGGTCGGACTGGTATTGTTGGTCGGGGATTGCTTGGGAGATGGGGTCCAAACCATTGCGGTGACCCCATTGTGACTAGGTAAGGTTCACATCCTATAAAAACACATAACTCTTGTTATTGACAAATGTGTAGGACCTTGCATCAGAGATATGGATTCCCTATTAACACATGTAACCACGAGTCATTTCCTGAATAGCAAATACCAGAAACTGTTAGAAATTGTATGTTTTACGAACCTTGTTTTGCTGCAGTACAATATTAATCTGTTACGAATGTGGGGCTCTTTTTCAGATGGAAACGTGACAACAAAGGACAAATTATCAAGACTGGTGGCAAACCATTGTTGGAGTTTGTCAGCATACGGAGAACAGACAATCAGATGTGGTCCTTACCAGGGGTGAGAAATCTATTGTTAAACCTGTTCTTTAAAACAGTATTTTTGGTCCTTATACCTCCTCCCTTTAACAGTATTGGTGTTCCTTATACCTCCTCCCTATAACAGTATTGTTGGTCCTCATACCTCCTCCCTATAACATTATTAGTGGTACTAACCTTATACCTCCTCCCTATAACAGTATTGTTGGTCCTTATACCTCCTCCCTATAACATTATTAGTGGTACTAACCTTATACCTCCTCCCTATAACAGTATTGTTGGTCCTTATACCTCCTCCCTATAACATTATTAGTGGTACTAACCTTATACCTCCTCCCTATAACAGTATTGTTGGTCCTTATACCTCCTCCCTATAACATTATTAGTGGTACTAACCTTATACCTCCTCCCTATAACA